TTGTGTCTACACTATCCTCTGATAGTCCAATGTATCTAATTTTTCCTTCTTAAACTAGTTTCTTGAGTGTTGGACTTAATGATTTTGATGATGACACAACCTCACTTACTTACAAACTAATAAATGCTTGATTGTTTAAGTGTGTACTCAGTTACAAAGACTAGGAGAATGAAGTGTCTTGTAAAAATACCATGAGGAACAAGAAGGCCAGAAGCAGAGCTAGTCATATAGAAGAGTTCCCCCACATGAACTGGCGCTTCAGAAATGAAGACTGGAGAAGAGAAAGTTCCCTCAGGGAACAGAAGCTTTAGAGAAGAAGCCTCATCAGAGAAGAGAAGTTCCTCCTCAGGAACAGAAGCATCGGAGTAGAAGCTTCATCAGAGAACATGAAGACTAAATATATTTTTATATTTTAGGATTTATGTAAGTATATGATATTAAATGGCACTCGAAAAATCTGTGTGGAATTGGTCTAAAAGATAAAATATGTGCATGCTAGTTTTTAGGAAAACTGTTATCATTTAAACGTTTATCTTTTTCTCAAATTAAAAAGATTTTATTTTATTCCTTTTTCTGATTTTCGGAAAATATCTTTAGAAAATAAAATCTCCCACGTTTTCTAAAAGCTTGCGGCCTACTCCTCCATGATTTTTTTCAAGTCATGGTCTTGCACATTGAGGAGTTCATGTTTCCTTAATTTTAGGAACATGATCTTCTTAGTGGGTTGGAGTAGTGGCGTAATGGAATTGCTGCACAAAGAGGATTTTCCAAAGCGTTTATTGATCTATAAATAGCCATTAATTTCAGAAGGAAAAACTCACCCTTGCTCACATAAGTTTTCAAGCTTCAAATCGAGTCAAGTGTCAATTCCACACAAGTTCATTAGAGTGTTCTTAATGTTCTTATACTAGAGTTTATTTTTCTTTCGAGTTGTAATTTGGGAAATGGGGAAGTTCGAGTGAACTTTTGTGTATGAGAAAGAGAAGTGAGAAAGAGAAGAGAAAGAGAAGAGAGAACAGAGAAGTGAGAAGAGATCAGAGAAAGAGAAGAGAAGAGTAACAAGTTGGGTGACTTGTTCCTCAGGGTCTCAAGTTCGTAGAGGAACTTGAGTTTGAGTCATTAGCTTGTAATAGGATCATTTGTCCTATTATAGTGAAGATTCTTTTCCCAAAATCCCAAGTGCTCGTGGTTTTTCTCCTTGTTGGGGCCAATGAGTTTTCCACGTAAAATCTCTCTTGCATTCTTTAGTTCCTTTAGTTAATCTTTCAGTTCCTTTAGCTAACTTAATTTTAATTCCGCAAAAAGTTTGGCTAATCTCTCGTACTACAATTCAACCCCCCCTTATTGTAGTATTCTTTGAAACAACATTGAGTTCGCCCATCTAGAAGCACATTCAAATAACATGAATGGAAGTTATTGAGAAAATTATTCCACACGATTCACCATACTTTTAGACAAAAAAATGCTTCAGACAAAAAATCAGATTCTTCTTCCAATAACTTACAGAGCCAATATAAACAAAGGTACACTGGATAGATGGCTTACTGTTTCCTCTATTGGTACTGAAGTGTCTATACGGTGTTGGTAATACAAATCAATATAGTCTACACCAAGACGATTCAAGCTAGCTTCACAACGTGAACGTACATACTCTGGAGTACCCTTCACTTCCATAAATCCAGATCCAAGTAGTCCAATGTTCACAATTCCAAACTTTGTAGCTACCTGTACCTTTTCTCTTGGCAACTGTTTGAGCGCCTGCATAGTGTACACATTTAGGTACATTTCATACATGTCAGTAGTCGAATTAGAACTGCAAGAACACATAGAGGCAAACAAGCATATCAAAACCTTGGATCATTATTCCCTCCATCCCTACATAATAGGCCACAGTTTATTGGGGTCATTTTTCACTACTTCTAGGAATTTTGAATCTAGCTCCATCATAGAAATGCAATCTTTCTTTGGAATCTTAGTTAAGGGTACCATGCAGTAGTTTTATGTTTACAAACTAAAGTGGTCATGTAACTGGACGGCCTGAATAAGATATGTGGCACTATTATCTAAGGATTGAGGGATGTAAGTCACATACAACAATCTCTAACTGCAGTAATTATCATGTTGTCTTTACTAGGAAATAATTCAATTTCACAGTCGTAGACTTGTATAAATATACTTTTCCTATGACACATCTATAGATGAATGTACTTTACAAATGGTGCTAATTCATAAGGAAGAAGGATGGAAATGATCGTTACACCACATTTTTGTCAGCTACTAATGCAACACATTCCTATCAGAGATATCTGTGAAAGAGAAAGCAACATGAAAAACTCGACAAGCACAATGTTATGCAGAGCAATGCATACCTTACCAACAAGGACTTCATTTGTAGAAGCTCCATACACATCTGCTGTATCAAAGAATGTTATTCCTTTATTAAATGTATTCTTAATTATAGAAATTCCATCGGTTTCAGAAACAGGAGCATTGTAGACTCCAGATAAGCCCATGCATCCAAACCCCAACTTCAAGACCTACAAAAAATGATGTAAAAAATTAAATTGAATAGAAACCTTCTCGGCTCCTCATCCAGTTTAAGCAAAAGGTGAATATAAATTTATGACTTTCTTATCAGCAAAAAGCGAATGAGTATGTACAATAGAAGCACTTGGTGACAGAATTTACGTATAGGCAGATATGATATAGGTTTCTAAATCTATATTTCATCTCTGACTCTGAGATAACAAGGACTTCAAATCTAATCTACCAGTGTATACAGAAGCTAAAATGAGTTGCTATACGATTCACTAGCACACAGTTCAAATCAGTCGTTATATGGAGAACAAGTAAATTATTTATCAACAATAACAGTCCTAGAATGTCTTCTTTGTACTTGAATAACAGTATGTCCTGTCTAAGTTAATTTTTCTCTGATCACATTGCAAGTTTGCCTAATATCCTTTGGGTGCTTATGCAATAGACCAAGGAGTTAAGACAAAAATAGACTTCGTATGTCTTGGCTCCTAATTATGTTCTTGGCATATTACACTTCATATTATTAAGAACTATGGATTTATGGAGATCATGTTAAGACAGAAAGAGTATTTATATATCATCATTTCAGAACATTTTTCGGATTTGCACTTCAATGACGGCAACTCAACACTATAAAGTCTATAACCAATTCATATGATCACTCACTCTATCATGACCCTTTGATTACACTTCTAACCTTATTTTTTTTCCCCAAATCGTTAAAGGGTGGTTCAATTCAACACCCTTCAATTACATTTCTAATCTTTCTTACCCCAAAATCGTTAAAGGGTGGTTCAATTCAACACCCTTCAATTACATTTCTAAACTCTCTTACCCCAAATCGTTAAGGGTGATTCAATTCAATACCCTTCAATTACATTTCTAAACTTTCTTACCCCAAATCGTTAAGGGTGATTCAATTCAACACCCTTCAATTACATTTCTAAACTTTCTTACCCCAAATCGTTAAAGGGTGGTTCAATTCAACACCCTTCAATTACATTTCTAAACTCTCTTACCCCAAATCGTTAAGGGTGATTCAATTCAATACCCTTCAATTACATTTCTAAACTTTCTTACCCCAAATCGTTAAGGGTGATTCAATTCAACACCCTTCAATTACATTTCTAAACTTTCTTACCCCAAATCGTTAAAGGGTGGTTCAATTCAACACCCTTCAATTACATTTGTAAACATTTTTACCCCAAATCGTTAAATTCGACCAATTAGAACGTAAAACCGGCCCATAAAGGAGACATCAAAAGAAATGACCAAAACCCAATCAACCATACAAGGAGTAACTCAATTACTCAAACACAAATAAATTGCAATCCTAAATCACGATCATGTAATTTTTTTTATTTTTATTTTTTTTGAAAAGAGATCATGTAATTCATATAACTAAGGGTCTGTTCTCATTGACTGAACTCGGCTGAACTGAACTGAACTGAATGGAGCTGAACTGAACTGAAATAAATATTTTATAAGAGAAGGAAATTAGGAGCTGAACTGAATTGAGCCGAGCTGAATTGAGCTGAGCTGAACTGAACTGAATTGAATTCTAAATGTTATTAAATTCAAAAAAGACAATAAGTAGAAATTGAAAACAGAGAAAATGTGGTATTTTGTATAATTCATTACCTCCAAATAAAGATGGCAATAATGGGTCTGGACCCGACCCGGATCCGTGGATTCAGATCTGAGTCTTCAAATTTTGGACCCAGCGGATCCGGATCCGGGTCCTGCTGACAAAAACGGATCTGGATCTGGGCCCTAGACCTGGATCCAGATCCGTGGACCCGTTTTTTATTTTTCCTATTAAAAAAAACTAAAATTGTTTATTTCTTTATTTAAAATGTTGATAATGTTAGTAATGATAAAGATTAGCCCTTCCAAGAGATGAATTTTGGATGCTCATATTATATACATCATCGTTGTTTTTTCACTAGCTCATATGTAACATCGTATTTTTTTTGTTGTATTTTAATTCAAAATATAAGTGTATAAGTTGGTTAATTTGGGGTTGAACTTAATAACCAACAACGTAAGTTTGAAATAAAATTTTTGACCTGAACATTACATTTATTGCAAAAATTAGGCAAAATATATTGGATCCGTTGTGGGCCCGAATCCAAACCCGGATCCGTTAGACCCGACGGATCCAGATCCGTTAGACCCGACGGATCCGGATCCGGGTCTTCATTTTCTAGACCCGATGGATCCGGGTCGGATCTAGATCCTATGTACAAATAATTGCAAAGATCCGACCCGTTGTCATCCCTACCTCCAAACCTTGGGTACCTAGTTTCACTCTTGCCACTTCTACTCCCTCTTTTGCCGCCATTTTCTCTCTTTCTCTCTCCTCTTGCTCTTGAAATTGATGAATATTAAACAGTTGAGAAGGGATATTTACTGCTAATCCAAAATACCCATTTTGCCCCTACTTACACAGTAAAACACTAAAACCCCAACTCAGAACTCACATTTTCACCCAACAAATATACTTCACTACTTCTCTCTCTACAACTTTCCGGCGTTTTCAAAGCAATATGGCCAGTCGGGGAAAGGATCCGGCGAGGTTTGCGACGGCGCCGGCGATGGCTGGGATAACCCATGCCCCCCAGATTGTAAGTTTATTCTGCAAATAATTGCAAAGATTAAATATTTGTGTTTAATTATCTGCGTAAATTATAAATAAAAATTGAAAATTTGTTGTTTTCTTGTGTTTGGTGCTGGAATAAACCCCCCCCCCCTTTTTTCATTTTTTGGGTGGTAAATAATTTAAAATACAAAATTAATTATTTAAGTTTAAGTCAAAATTGGGGTTTTTTCTTTTTAAGGGGATTGAAGTCAAATTTTTGTTTACATGATTAATTATACTTGTGTGTAACAATGACATTTTGAGGATGGTTTTTATTTTTTATTTTTTTTCATTTTGAGTTTGGATATGAAAAGAACAAATAGATGGTTGTTATCATTGATTATTACATGTTTGATTCGAAGTAAATAGTAAGGTATTAGCTACTGAATTTTTTTGAATGGTAGAATATAATGATTATTGATTATATAAATACTACTTCGTGTGTAGTATGGTAAGAAAGGAAGGGAGATAACTAACATGAAATATGGCTCTGGTGCTATGCAAACTCGAGTTGGATGTAATGATACTTTTGTTTGGAGGGAGAGGGAGGCTGCACGGTTGAGCCATCCCAAGAGCTATGCCAATAATGCCCATTTCGGCGAGGCTAATCGCCCTTTTGATGATGAGGATTGTTATGATGAGGATGAGGATGAGGACGAGTATGAAAATGATTCTGAGTTCGAGGTTGGTGTTGATAAGGTTAAGGGTGGTGTTTATAAGGTGCCTCCACTGCCAAGGAGATAGTATACTGTACACGGAGGTCGTAAAGGAGTGGCATTTGTCGAAAATGAGACGAGTACTAGGAAGACTAGTGATCAGCCTAAACCGGTAGTTGATGATTCTTGGATTGTTAAGGGAGACATGCCGGGTGGTCCATCTGATGGTTCTGTCATTCCTAGCTATGGAGGTCATGTTGCTAGGCGGATTTGGGAAGGAAAACCAAGGGGTGTGTTAAAATGCTACAACTTAACCAATGCTTGTGAGGCTCTTGTTGGATGGAAAAAGACGGCGTTGCCTTTCATGCAGGCACGGATTGATGCAACTGGATTGGGTCACTTACCATCTTGCATGTTTAAACACATTGATATGCCGTTGATTTCTGCATTTGTGGAGCGGTGGCAGCCTGACACAAATTCTTTTCACTTACCGTTTGGAGAAATGACGATTATGCTGCATGATGTATGGCAGATCCTCCACATTCCAGTAGATGGTTGTTTGAATACTTCCCAAAGTAGCTCTAAGGATTTGATTCATGATATGTCTGAGCTACTTGGAAGGACCCCAGACGAGCTTGTAGTTCCCCCTACACCTCATTGGAGTGATGATGGTGTCTCCATCGAATCTATTCTAGCTTTGTGCCGTGATGGTACATTGGTTGGTGATATTGATACAAAGTTCACCAGTTGGATGTTTTTGATGCTTGGTTCTTCATTATTTGTTGATAAGAATGAGAGTAGGATTAGACCTTCTAGCATACTTGAGGTAAATTATGATTGTGATTTAGGAAAGATTCCTAAGTATGCGTGGGGTGCTGCAACTTTGGCATTTCTGTACCGGCAGCTAGGGGTTGCTAGTCGGGGTGCATGTGATGGCATTGCTGGTTGTCTGACACTTCTACAAGCATGGATATATGAGTACTTCCCTTGTTTCCGACCTCACCAAAAACGACTAACTTGTGGCCCTAATGACCCTCGCTCTCTTATGTGGAGCACCAAGATGGAGGACAATAGTGAGGCCCGACTACGTTCGATTCGTACCCATCTAGATTATTTGACAGCCTTGGAGGTATATATCTTACAAAAATTACATTATCTTCACATTTTCAAGCTAGTATTATACTTAATTTTTTGTACTTGTGATGTCTACTTTCTACATGTAGGTGAATTGGCTGCCTTATGGTCCTAATCCTGCTTCCATTGTGCCAAGGACCTTATTCCTGGGGTGGCTTCGGTATCAGGATATCATTGAGCCATATATGCCTGAACGGGTGTTACGCCAGTTAGGCTACAAACAGGTGATTCCTTCTTCAATATCTAGGCCAGAGAAGGCTTACAGGCCAGAGGACAGCAAGTTGTATAATGTTGAGTTTCCGGTCATGGCCACTGAGTCAACTTGGCAAATCTTTCCAAGAGGATCCAAGCTAATTCTCTCCGAGTTTCAGCGTAATTCAAATCCTAGTGCCTGCTCTCCAGAATATGATGATTGGTTCTTTGATGTATCACATCGTTATTTAGTTGATGAGGATTGTTCGATGGATCGCTAAAACGCTGCATATGTAAGTATCATTTAGCTCTATAATTTAAATGCACGGGATTTGCAGGTTGCGTTTAACATTGACATTTACTTAAATTCTAATACGTATGTAGTGGATGAGTCATATGCTTACACTCATACAACCTTGGATGGATGCTCGAGATATTATGCCAACCAAAGAGACCAGAGATGTTGCTGGCGAAGTAGATGATCTCATTCGTCAATGGAACATAGCTAAATGATCTCATTTGTAATATTAATCATCTCTCTGATTTAATTACTATCGTTGTAACTAACGAGACTTTTAGTTGAAGGATAATTTGGACTTAAATTTTTATATTTGTATTGTCATTCGCTTCATTTGCCTGTTGGTATTTCTAATTTTGTTTTTTAATTAGGATAAAATAAATAAATAGTTTTTTTTTTTTTTTTTTTTTTTTTTTGGAAACACAAATAAATAAATATATAAATAAATACAGTTTACTAGTAGTATAAAAAGTTGATATTTTTAAAGTGCATCTTAAATTGAATTAAACAAGATTTTACATAGATATATCATAGAGTATGTCTTATGGCCTGTTCTCTTCAAATTATTTTTAGTTAAGCTTCATTTCAGTTTTAATTTCAGCCCATAAGTGTATGAGAAATTGTAAAAAAAAAAAAAAAAAGTACCAAGAATAATCCCAACTTAAAAAATAATTCAAAATTGAGATTATTTTTAGCGAATGAGACAAAGTTGGGATTATTCTTGTCAAATTTTCCTTTTTTTTTTATTTGCTCATGAATGAGAGTGGTCTTATGAAATTGGCTATTTTGCCAGCATTATTTATCGAAATGGCTTTTATTTCTTCGCAATTACTAAATGCAGTACAAAATAACCCAAATGAAGAAATTAATTAATGATACGAAACTAATAAAAAAACTGAAATACCCTTTTCCTATATGAAAAAATTGATTCACCATTTCACCAGGCTTTTAGTATTTACATTTTTTTTTTATTTTGCAATTCATTTTACTCGTTTTTCATTTCATTCAACATTTCAGTCACCATTTTTTTTTCATTTCACTATTTCCTTTAAAATTCTTCAATCTGAGCCCTAGAGATGAATAAGTTGTTTACCACTCATAAATCATCCGATCTTAGGTTATTTTCATTTAATTTTTTAATTGAATTTTTGTAAATTTTCATTATAAGTACCCCCGGCTATGTTTTTCGGGGGTACCATTTACCCCTGGAAATCTTATCTAGGGGGTACTAAAAACCCTCGGAAATCTTATCCGGGGGGGGGGGGTACTAGCTAGAGACCCCTGAAATTCTTAGTTGGGGGATATTGGAGACCCCCAGAAATCGTATACGGGGAGTGCTAGAGACCTTCGAAAATCTTAGTCATATAAGATGGAAATTTTATTTTGTTTGATTGTTCATTTATTTTAACACATAATTTTCTTACCTCAAAAAAATGTCGTAGTGCACTTCATTATTATTGTCTATGAATTTGTATAGTATTGAATATTAAATAGGATTCAAGATTGAATACGTTAAAATATGGTTGTAAATTAAATAGTAGGGATGATTATATAGTTAGGAGTGTACATGATTTAATTTTAATCATTTAAAAAAAGTGTAAAGGATTAAGGGCATGTTCACTTCAGCTTAATTTCGGTTTAGTTCAGTTCAGTTCAGCTCTCAATTTCCTTCTCTCATTAAATATTCATTTCAGCTCTATTCAGTTCATTTCAGCTTCAATTAGTTCAGTTCAGTAAATGTGAACAAATCCTAAGTTAAATAAGGACAAACAAGAATTATAATTTTTTTTTTGTACATTTAGGTAAATTTACCCCTGCATTTAGTACTTTTTTCTTTTTTTTTTTTTAACAAAATTGTCATTTGATATGTGAGCTTTGTAACTGTGTAAGCTTGGACTACAAGTCTACATAGGGCTGTACACAGTTTGGTCTGGACCGTAACCAAACCAGACCAATACAGTTTGGTTTCGATTTTTTGGGAAGTACAGTTTGCGGTTTGGTTTGGTTTTTCAAAAATTATAAACCAAACCAAACCGTAAACCAGTAAACAACATTTTAATATTTATATAATTTCTAAATAAATTAAAATAGTTATTATATATTATTAAAAAAAATAAAAAAAAATGAAAAATTATTAGAAGACTATACAGTCAGTATACTACTATATTCTATACTCATTCTCAAATAGTTATTATATATTATGTATAATTTTTATTACGTGTTATTGTGTTAGCACTTAGCACTTGATTAGTTGGTTGTTATTTTGATTAAAAATTTGTAGTATAATTTAATCCATTTGGCCTAATTATTTGAACTTTATTATAAATTTATTAATATTAGACAATTTTTAGGAAAAAAATGTCGTCTCATCATAAACCGCAAATCAAACCGCACCAAACCGCATTATTACGATTTGGTTTCAATACTAATATGGTTTGGTTTGGTTTGGAAAATTGACCAAACCGTATTTTGCGGTTTAGTTTGATTTAGACTCAAAACGCATCAAAACAGACCATGTTCACCCCTAAGTCTACCCGTACAAAAATAAAATTTTGTTTTGCTAAAATTGAAACCCAATTAAAACGAAAAACCCCGAATTTTTTTTCTTCTAAAAACCCAAAAACCCTTTTCTTCGTCTTGTTGTTCTTGCTAGTTCAAACAGTGAAATTGCAGTGAACATGAGATGGCTGCCTCCATTTCCAAAACATTGACCAGAAACATTCGATTTATTACCACTTCTTCTTCTGCCCCTTCATTACCTCGTTTCTTCTCCACTTCTACTGCATCTGCTGTTTCCGCCATTGATGACCCCACCATTCCTCAACCTCAACCTCATCATCAAGGTTGATTTTTCCCTCTTTCTTTGCTTTTGCATTTGTTCCAAGTGAATCTATGAATGTAATTTGAATTGGGTTTTTGAATTTGATTTTTTTTTTCTTTGATTTGTTGATTATGATGATGATGATTTGTGTTGATTTTTCAAATTTGTATTTTTTTTTCTTTTGATTTGTGGGTAATGATGATAATGGTGATAATGATTGAGCAGGAAAGCAGCAAAGAGGAATATGGTCGAAGATGTTTCTCTTTCTTCCTGGGGCTATTACTTTTGGTCTTGGCAGTTGGCAGATTATCAGACGACAGGACAAGGTTCAAATTCCCTCCTTTCCCTTTTATTTATTACGCTTGATTTTGATCCCGGAATTAGCTATCGATATGTTATTTGGACTTGGGTACTTATGTCCGACTCGGGTATGTATCCAAGTGTTAGACTTGGCTACATTATGAAAATTGTAATGTTTTGCTGCAAAATGAAGTATCAAGTCTTTGAACCTATGTTGAGGTGTTTATGAAATGATGATTGATAAGCAATTGAGTTGAAATGAAGAGTCAAGTAACATAGGCAGCCATTTGAAAAATCAAATTGATTTGCCCATTTGAATTTTTTTGTTTATTGTGAAGAAGTTGTTGGGTTTTATTGGTGTGGACAGTTTATGTTATGATATGGAATGCCAAGATTTAAGCCTAGGAGTTCTATTTGAGGATTGATTGTTTGGGTTGAGGGAAGGATAATCGTGTGGCAGCTGGAATCTCCAATGTTCAGTAATGGATCCCCCAGTAAAGCATTTCTGGGTACTTGAGATAACTGTGTCCAATTGAGCTTTGTTGAGTTGATTTGAGCTAATTGAAATGACTTCTATATTTTTTTTCATTATTTTTGAGATTTTGAGTATCTAGTGAAGTTGTCTAAATTTGTTTTTAGTGTAGTTGCATTTATATATGATTAATTTAGATTGCCCATATAGAGTTTATTATTATGCTTGTTTTGGCCATTATTGTGTTGAGCTTACTGCTTGTCTGATAAACCCCATTCAATGTTTCATCAAAGTTGATGTCAGTTAAACCATCTGGCAAAATTTTGTGGGGTGTATTAGGTTATCTTACCTTTTTGAAGACTCCTTGGTTCAGGGTGTGACAAGGGAATTTTCGTAAAATTTCTACTATAGTGCCTTGTATATATAGATGTCTATTGCCATTCTAGTTTGACTTTTTTTTGGATTATATCTCCAAGAAATTCAAGCCCTGTATCTTAAAAAGGGCAAGGAGGCAAAGGCCTTGTTTCATTTCATACCATGCTGTAGAGTTTTATTTCAGCGTACATTTTGTCTTCTTATCCATGAAGAATTTCTTCTATAAAAAAATGTGCAATTTAGTATTAATGGGTAGGTAACTAGCTTTCTTATTCAAACTCTATTTGCATACGTGAGAGAAATTTACTAATTTTTCACGATTTCAGGTTTTGAATCATCTTAAATATCCATTAAAGATACTAAGCTGTCCTGATGCCGATTGAGCTTCAATTGAAAAGTTTTGTTATTGGTTTAATTGAATCATCTGACCTATTTATAAGTTTTGTAATTGGCAAAAGAGGAATGCTCGTTGAGAATTTGACATTGATCTGTTATTGATATTCAATTTAGGTTCATTTTGGTCTTTGTGCTTCTTTGTTAGCTATTGTCTATCAGTAAAATAGGTGAAATTACCATTTTTTTTCTATCCTTATTATTGATCTTTTGTTAAACTTGGTTCATTGATGCTATTGGTTAAGGGAAGTTCTTCAGTTGAAGCTTTTGAAATCAAATTAGCTGAGTAGAAGGTTTTTTTTATCTTTATTTTTTTTTTTATGAAACTCACTGGATGTGTATTTGGGATTTCATCTTAAAATCTAGAATTAGTATTACTGCTAGGCAGAAGAGCCTGATATGAATATATTAAAGACCATTTTCAGATGTTTGTGTGTTCGAATTCATGCACAAGTCTACATTCTAATGCTCTCATAATGGTGTCATACTGTCATCTAATTGTATGCGCTGTTGAGAAGCTTTTGATTTAATACTCTGGGTTTTGTGAAACTTTAACCAACTTGTTATTTTCCTCTGGTGGATGTTTGCACATGAATATAAGTAGTATACTAGTATGTACCATCCATGTTTATTTTCTTAAACTATCTTGTTTGACTATAGATGTATGCTGATGTAGATCAAAACGTTGGATTACAGAAGAGAAAGGTTGGCAATGGAGCCAATTGAGTTTAATGACATAGCTTCTGGTGAGAAATCAGATACTTTGGAGTTTCGGAGGGTGGTCTGCAGAGGACCTTTTGACGAGAAGAAGTCAATATATGTAGGCCCACGATCCAGAAGTATATCAGGAGTTACAGAAAATGGATACTATATTATTACACCACTTGTGCCTATTTTTGGCAATCTGGATAGGTGAGCCAATGATTGATAGACATATTTGTAAATGTGTTCCTGTTCCATCATCCAGTTTTGATTGTTAGCTGCAAACAGATACAATGTGGTCTATCTTATTCCCTCTCTCAGTTGATGTCTTGTTTATCACCCTTCACCTTATTCTCACTCATAATTGATCATTGATTCATTTCATCTGCATGCATTATTTAATGTGTCATAGATAGCTCATAAATAATAAATTCTTTGATGTTTGGTTGCATAATATTACTGCCCTATCTACTTCATAAACTTCTGTTTGATGCTGATCATTTAAAGAAATACTCATTAAAATGCAGTTTTGTGTCATCCTTGTGTTAAAGGAACCTGAATTGACTATGACATAACTTTGCAAAAATCTAATGTCTGGGATCCCTTCAATATTGTTATTTAGATGAAATACTACAAGAGGGGGGGTGAATTGTAGTATGGAGATTGCTAGTTACTTTTTGCGGAATTAAAAGAAACTTAACGCAATAGAGAAATAGTGCAAGAGAGATTTTACGAGGAAAACTTCCTAAGCCAAATAGGAAGTGAAAAACCTCGACCCAAAGGGATTTTGACTCAAAACATTCCACTAAAATAGGCCAACGACTCTGTTACAACCTATGAGGAACTTGAGCCTCTACCGAGTTCCTCAACGAACTCATATCCCCAACAACTATTCCCTCTAATAGTTGCAGCTCGAAATCTTCCCTCAAAGACCTCTCTTCTCACTCAAGACTTCACTCAAAACCTTACTCTTTCTCTTTCTCTCAAGCTTCACTCAAAGCCTTCTCTACATACAAAGAACTCACTCAAGTTCTCACCCCCAATACAAGAGTTCACTCAAACCCTTATTAATTCCCCATTACAAGAGTTCACTCAAACCCTTAAACAACTCTCAAATACATATAAAAGATATAATGTATAAAACTAATATGTTGGACACTTTGAGATATGTAAGGAACTTGGAACCTGAACTGGCTTACCAACGTGGAGAGAAAATATATTTCTTTTCTACTGCTCTACCACTTTGGATAAACTCCATTATGGAATGACTCAATTAAGCCAGACAGTTTGGAATGAATGAAAACATTTCTTTTTATAGTGCTTTAAAGACAAACCCATTCATCCCATGATCTTCAATCATAACAGTAGTGCTTCCTAAATTCTAGGCATTATCTCCATTAACTCCATGAACATAAGAAGTAATGGAAGACATGGATTGGAGTAAAAAAACATTTTCTCCATGATCTCCTTATTTTTCTCCTGTAAAAAGTTGTTTCAAATTGAACGTGAAAAGCAATTTTTATTTTTCCAAAAACTTAATAAATAAAAATAGAAGTTACAAGAAAATAAAATACTAACCAAATCAGATTTTTATCAATTGAAAACTGATTCGGAATTTATTCATTAAGAATAAATATTTTATAAAAATATTTTATCCCAAAAAACTATCCTATTTAATTTGAAATATTAAGCCAATTAGAGATTAGATAGGAAACAATCTAAAACATAACCCTAAAATATAGGAGAAAATAAAGAGAATAAAATATCATTTTGACTAAAAAGAAAATCAGATTTTATTTTTAAAAACTTATCTTTTATAAAATAAAATCTATTTAAAATAAATTATACCAAGTCAAAACTAATTACCTAGAAAGTAGGCAAAGATAATGCAATGACTACTAAAATGGAAAATCGACTTTTAGTGTTGTGTAAACGTGTGTTTCTCTTATACACGAATTTTAGACTCTCCCGTAAGGAACTGGCTGGTCAGCAACACCCAGTTCCTTCTAGACTGTCAGTTCCTTTGAGACTGAAGTTCCAATTTAGTTCCATAGGCATGTTCCAAACAATTTCTCGTGTCCAACATACTTATATGATTCCTAGAAAAATATACTCCTATTTTTCTGTCTTGAAAAAGCTTCTGTTCCTTCAAAGGAACTTCTCTTCTCTTGTTGTCACATACAAATTGCTGCTTATTCCTTGTAAAGAACTACTTCTCATTATTCTTAGGAACTGCATACAAAGTCTAACAATACGTTTGTACGTTTAGACTTCTTCTCTTTGTGTTCCCCCTTGGAAACTCTTCTTCTCTTTGTGTTCCCCCTGGGGAACTTAAGCACGATCCATACATTGTATGTTGGAACCATCTTCAATAATGATCTAACCTGTACTCATTCATCTTCTTGCTTCATGACTTGTTCATGCACATCTCAATACACATGTTAGTTAGATAATCATCATTTGTTCACAATCATCAAAACCTTACAATATCTTAGTGTTTTGGTCCTAAAGTTGGTTGTCTCTAAACTTTGTAAATATTTCAGCACAAACGCAGTTTAAATTTACCCACAAAACCATTTTTTCAATTAAAAAGTTACGGCTTATAGGGGGGGGGGGGATTTCCTCTTGAAATACGGTTTTTCCCCTAAACCTTTATGTGTAGGAGGAGAAAGGGTAGAGGAATGCAGGGTTGACAGGGATCAGAGAAAAGAGAGCCTTGATTAGTTTAGTCAGCTTGGGAATAAAATCACATCTAAGTCATTTGAGAATACTTTTAGGAAAACTAGCTATTGCAGTAGAATCTCTGGCCATTAAAATATTTTGCTTGATTTCATCGATAAAAAAAAGTTATTTTGCTTGAATAAGCAACATGTTTTGGCTGTACAAAGTTTTCTTCTGGCTGATTGTGTAAATTTCAGCGTTCAGTCCCCAGTTTTAGTGAATAGGGGATGGGTCCCACGCAGCTGGAGGGACAAGGCACTGGAATCTTCTCAAGGTCTTGAAGAAGATAAAGATGCACCCAACACTGCTTCATCATCTGGTGAAATTCGTTCATTCTGGAGATTTTGGTCTAAGAAGCCCCAAACAACTGAGGTTTTACTTTGCACTGTTATAGTTTATGTTACATTTAGTAAATGTGTTAAGAGGGGTGGTCACATTTATCCCATTCTTTAATTGCAGGAACCAGCTCCATCTGTCACCCATGTGGAAGTAATTGGTGTGATTCGTGGGAGTGAAAAACCAAGCATTTTTGTTCCAGAAAATGATCCTGCCTCTGGTCAGTGGTTTTTTGTTGATGTTCCTGCTATTGCCAATGCATCAGGCCTTCCTCAGAATACAGTCTATATTGAAGACATTAATGATAATGTTAGCGCAAGCAATCCATATCCTATTCCAAAGGATGCTAGTACCTTAATTCGCAGCTCAGTCATGCCGCAAGACCATCTAAATTACACATTGACATGGTACGTGTCTTGCTAGTTGAACACTCTATGTTATGCGTGTACTTGTAGCTTTACTCAAAATTATTTGTATCCCTTCATGGCCATCTATAATTTGCTATGCTTTGTATGAAGTATAATATTGTGTGTTGAAATCATGACCAATGTTACACGGAACTTGGGATGTTTTGGAACAAGGTACGAGAATGGGAACACGGTATGTGGGTCTAGAATTTCCGAAATGTTTGGTTATTTTTGGGATTTTATTTAATTGATTTTAAATTTTATAATTAGTAAATTTCACTGATAATGTTCTTTTTTTTTGTTATGATAATCTGATTTCAGAGAATGCAGCAAAAGAAGAAATCTAAAAATTCGAAATTAAGTTAATAACAAAACTATATTTGATAGCAATCTAATATTTCAAGACTCGAAGTTTTAAGACTTCTAACCACTTACTCCAAATTACATAAAGAAAAAAAAAAAGAAAAAAGGATAAACCATAACTAGCAAGTCAGTCAAATTCTTTCTCTTAGCAACTGCATTATCCTCAACAAGCACCCACCTTATGTCATCCATTCTCAATGTTAAATCCTCAATTTAAGAGCTCTTGGGATATCCCACATTCTATAATGTTATCATAGCCAATTATAAGTTATTCTGCCGAAAGAGTTTGGAGCACCTATTCTTACATCCACAATATTAAGAGGAATCGGCTGAATGCTCTCCGTGCCGACAAGTTAGTGTTTGTTCACTCTAACTTAAGACTTATATCACGCTTTACAAAAAGCTACACACCCGTCCCTTATAGTAGGTGGGATATTGACCCCGAGAGCTCTTATATTGAGGATTCACCATTGAGAATGTATGATATAAGGTGGGTGTTTGTTGGGTGCTAAGAGGAAAAAAATGACTAAATTGCTAGTTATGATTTATCTTTTGTATTTGTAAATTAAAAAAAAAAATAAATAAATAAAAAAAAAAAAAAAAAAGTTAAAAAAAAAAAAACTTGGAGTCTTGAAATATTGGATTACTGTCAAATGTAGTTTTGTTTTTAACATGACTTTGAACTTTTAATTTCCTTTGTTTTTTTTTGCTGCTTTCCATTAAATAAGGTTATCATTTTAAAAAAAAGGAACATTATCATGGTGAAATTTACTAATGAGAAAATTTAAAATCAACCAAAGAAACATCTCAAAAAATAGCCAAACGTTCCGGGAACTCTAGACCTCACGCGCTGCATTCCCGTACCACATTCCAAAATGTCACACGTTCCGTGTAACGTTGCCCTAGATAATGTGGTGTGGGACAGTGGGGTTGGAGGAGAAGGATAATTTTGGGTCAGCATTATACAGAATTTTTATTTTTTCAATGATTCATAATTTCTACTATCTGACTTGTTGTATGTCAATGCCCAAAAGTGAGCTAAATAGAAAAACAAGTTAGTTATAATTCTGAATAGCTTTACAATCTGGTAACCTAGTTTTCAATAATGCACAATGTTATTGTGATGCATCTTTTACAAGGATCTTAAGTACATCAGTGATGCATCTTTTACAAGGATCTTAAGTACATCAGTTTTCTTGATTTGTGAAGTATGCTGAAGATACTTGGTGATAGACTGATAGTTGCTTACCAGATTTGAAATGTCCTTCATATTGGTTTAATTGGGATTTGTCAATTCAAAGTTGAGAGAAAAATGGATAGAGTGTGATTGTCTCATTGTGTGAAACTGAGCGTTATTTTTGGGATATGGGTTTATCACACTTTTTTCAGTCAAAGTGGAAGTTAAACTGGTTTTTTAAGACAACTCTCCTTGTTTAAAAGATCACTCAGACAATTAATTCATTTGCCTCCTAAAATTTGTAAAGCACAAATTAAGTTCCAGTCTTTAGAAATTCTTGGCGATCCCTTTGCAACCAAGTCATATTTATGTCTACTGCTCTCATACTGTATATGACAGTCTTAAAGCAAAAGATGTCTACTTCATCTTGAAGTTCTTGCCAACATAGGAATTTATGCTTTTATTCATGGAGAACTTTACACATTTGATTTGGCATTCCATTACTCTCTTCGGAAAGAAATTATAAACACTCAAGTTTGGTATCGGATAAAATAAAAACAATTTTATCGAGTAGGGAGGTGCCAATTTGATAAGCAGGCAGCATGTTTTGTCCATTGCTGCTGAAGGCTTTAATTGCTAGAATTTTTTTTTTCTTTTTTCTTTTTTTTTTTTTTTTTTTTTTTTTTGGAGGAAGGGCGGGGGGTGGTTTTGTTGCTGACACTTTGTTTGGATTAAAGGAGATGGAGAGATGGGGTATCTTTCATTTGGATAATAAATGAGGAAGGAAGGGAATTGTGGAGAGAAATGGAGGGAAAATTTGTAAGAAATTGATCTCATCTCTAACAATGGAGAAATTTGGATGAAAACCTCATCATTCTTTCCTCCCTTCCCATCTTTTCCTTCTCCTTTCTTTATCCAAACACACATGCAGTATATTGTCTCTGGCTTGTGTTCATGATTAGGAAACCAAACATGCATGATATAGGTCAGAAATGATGCAGTGTGATGTAGATTGACAGAAAATATATCTAACCTGGATGTAATTAAACTCAATTTTACTACCCCGAAACATGCTAATGCTCTATATTTAGTCCAATTACTAACATTTATATTCATGACAAGCAGGTATTCTCTATCAGCTGCTGTGACATACATGGCTTACAAGAGATTGAAGCCAAGAAAAATCCGGAGATAGTATTTAATTTATAAAAGTCCTAGGAATTCCCTGTTTATTTCATGACCGTGCTAGAGAATACTGAAGATCAGGTGCTGTCTACCAAATACTGACATCTTTTGTCATCATGTCAGAGGACGTGTTTCACTGTTATAAGATATTCTGGTATATACAAGCAGCAGATGAGATATTGATTTTGCAAACAAAACTTTGAGAATTTGAAACCTTGCTAGAAATTTTGGAATTTAAACATTGGAACAGATGAGTTCGTTTTTCAAATCACAGATTCACAGAACACTGATGTACAAGCTGCTATACAAGTCCAGGGTATCAGGCATTGATCTTTTCAGATTCCGTAAGTGCTCAAGACCAATATTAGAGGGTGATGTTACAAGAATGATTTGAGTTGACTGAATATCAACATATCATTGCCAGACATCCAATAAAGAAAACTCTTTGCTTCAGTCACAATGCAGCTTGTATTTTGACTTAATACATTGTAATTTTTGTACGGAGTATTATTTTTGCTCTATATATTTTTGGTTATTTTTGACAATTCCTCATCTCACATGCTTCATTACATTAAATGAACTTGCAAACATTAAATATGGAGCAATAAGAGGTTAAAGAGTGCAAATTTTGTAGAAGCCAGTAATTCACAAACAATACCAACAATGTTTGAAGTCTAGGGTTTGAATCATGACAAGTGATGATGCCTCTGGGTAGGGATGGTGATGGGGCGGGTCGGATGCGGATGATGGTACCTCCATACCCATACCCGCCTAAAAATTTTATACCCATCCCCGCCCGTGGCAGGTACAATATCCACATCCATACCCGCCCCATCGGGTACAAGATAGGATCCATCCCTGTCCCATCACCCACTTGGATATTCATACCCATCTTATACCCGCCCCAAAATCGTTCCAAACCTTTTGCCATGAGTTCTGGGTAGGGAATTCAACTTTCCTCTATTGATCTACTCCCAAGTGTTTGGTCTTTATATGCAGGACTAATTTACCACCAAAGTAATAAAAAAAAATAATAAATAAATATATCACACATTTTTACTTTCTGGCAAAGTAAAAAAAAAAGTATATTTATTTCTAATGTAATTTTTTTAATTTAAGAACATCAAAAGGTCTTAGAGACTTGTTCACAGCTTAACTGAACTGAAATTAAGCTGAAGTTAACAAACCCTTAATCCTATTGACGGGGTTGATTATATGAATTAAGATTTCTTTTTCAATTATTCTATTCGTTATTGATAACCATGATCCCCTCCATTTTGATAAGGATTTTAATAAGTACTCGTATTAGATGTCAAACTTAGTGTTCATACTTCATATCCCACGGAGCTGCAACATCAATAAGTAAGCAACAATCCTTTCCCAATTTCTCTCTCCTTTCCTCCACTTGACACATCACTTCCCACTATCTCCATCCTTTTACTTATCCTCTTTCTTAAATATTTCCAACATCAGAGTATCCTTTCCCATATACTCTCTCCTATTTACATATACCCCCACCATATATTCTCTCTCCTATTTACACACTTAATTATTATTTTAGTTTGTAAAATATGTTTATTATTATTATTATTATTATTATTATTAATCGAACAAAAATACGTCAACGGTTTGGCATGTTGCTTCCAACGGTTACTTTTCCCCTTTTTTCTTATGTTTGCTTTGGCACGTGGGTCGAGACATTGTTTCCTTTCCACAGAAAAAAAAAATGCTAGTTTTCTAATCAAAAGAGGATCTTTTTAACTAATCTAGCATTCAAGAGGAATCTAAAAAGCACGTAAAAGGATGGTAAAAGGAGAATAATTCTCCCGTTGCTGGTGCTCTTGATTGTATAAAACCTATATTAAAAAAATATAATAAAAAAGTTTATATTCATCGGTTTTCTTATAAAAAAACAGTAAATAAACAGTGGCGGACCCACGTAGGGGCCCGGGGGGCACGTGCTACACCCCCAAAAAAAAAAAAAAAAAATTAATTTTTTTTTTGAGAAAAAAACCACGGGGAAATGGCTTCCTGCCTTCCTCTTCTCTTTTCTCGTTCAAAGTCTTCAAACCCTAAATCCTAACTTCTCACTTCCGCCCACCCGCCCCACCGCACTCAAATTCACTGCTGCCGCCCGCCGGAGTTCCGGACGCCGTCAAGCCGCCTTCCCCTGCGACCCTGCTGCTCGATCTTGGCCTCTGTCCTCTGACCTCGGCTCGACGGAGTGACGGACGACGGCTCTGTTACTCTGTTACTCTCCATTCTCCAAGTAAATTATCTTCTCTCTCACAGTTGAATTTAATACTTGTATAATTTAAGCTGTTCCAATTGCAATATCATCTCTGTTATTGTAGAGGATCTGAATGTTGAATTAATTTAGTTTAATACAACCTATAATTGCCTCTCCCAAGTTAGGAGTTTTTTTTTTGTCTTGATTTAATTTAGTTTGGAAGAAATCGGCTACTAGAAGTCTAGAATGAGTCATGAACCAATTTAATTTAGTTTTTTTTTTTTGCCCACTCTTCTCGTGTGGAAGGCCTCTAATGTATGTCAGTATGTGTCAACCTTTTCTCTTAACGTTTAACTATCTTGTGGAACCTGATTTTAATCAATTACTGAGGTTCCTCCTCAATGGGTTTTCATTAATAATAATAATTGAGTTTTTGGAATCTGGGTTTGGTGAGCATGTGCACAAGAATACCTCATACACTTCTTTCTAAATTTGTGAAAAGTTAGATTTTTTAATTTAATTAATTTTATTTAAATGTATCTTCTTTGAGATCAGTGGAATATTGCTTCTGGATTATTTTTTTCATTTGTGTTTATTAAATGTAGCATGTGGATCCTGGGGTTTTGAAGATGCAATGTTCACTGTGTCTTGATTCCTATTGTTTTGGGATTTGTGTAATTATGTTTGCTTTTATACTTGGAGCTTTGATAGCATTTATCTCCTTCATATTTGGTTGATTAAAGAGTGTATTACCAACGTGAATGACGAGGCTTTATAATTGTGTTATTAAGCTTCTTTGATCTGGTTTTATTATATAAGAAAACTTTGATGCTTTGAGAGAAGTTTCTAATTTTAGTTTTGATTAGTGGTTCTATAAGTAGAAAATTCAGTTTTTGTGGTTCTTGTTGTTGCTAATTTTGCTGTGATGTGAATAATGTGTTTTGTTGGACTTGTTATGGTTAATCATGACTATCTTCATTGATATAAACTAGTGTATTTGGTTTGATGGTTTCTTGATATGTATGAGACTATGTCCGTACACTTAGTTCATTTACTTGTTTAATTAAAATTGTGTGTTTTGAGGCTAATTATTTAGTGTTTTATTGAATTAGTTGTCAAATTCTCGTTTTTTTAATATATTATATGACTTGTTATACGCCGTACCCGTGTCCCCTATTTCAGGATTGCCGTTTTCCCGTGTCCGTGTCGTGTCCGTGTCCGTGTCCGTGTCCGAGTCCGTTTCCGTGCTTCCTAGGTTTTCACAGCCTTCACTAGTTCACTGTTTCACTGTTTGACAATTACTAATTAATCTAATTAATTACAATTACTAATTGTTGTTTCACTGTTTGTTGCTAATTGATAATTTGCTATTTGCTAATTGATAATTTGCTTATAAGTTTGTTGCTTAATGCTTATTGTTTACTTTAACTCTTTAAGTGGGCAGTGATTTTTCTTCAAAAAAAAAAAAAAAAAAAAAGAGAAAGTGGGCAGTGGGCAGTGGGCTTATTAAACTTAATATTATACCAATGAAGATGATTAGATGATTAGATGAACATAATATTATACCAATGGTCCAATGATCAATTCATACTCTAATTTTTTTTTCACGTATTAGTATTGTAATGTAATTGCATACATTATTATGTACTTTTTTTAATTCCCTTTTATATTAACTAATTTGCCTTAGCGCATTTTGAACTTAGTGTCATAACGTACGTTGTCGGTTGTGCTACCCCTCCCCCAAAATCCTGGATCCGCCACTGTAAATAAATAATTGTTGAGTAGTTCCTGAAACCCTTTTCCCATTTCCACAAAATATCAAACACCACTCAGCCTTCGGTTACCACCACCGGAGCATGTTCAAACTTCTCCAGGTAACAAACTCAGTCATTTGCTAGGTATATATTCGTTTTCTTATACTCTTTCATTTCTTAATTCTTTTGAATTTAAATTCAATTTCTTTTAGTATTATCAATTTTTCCCATCATTATGATTTTTAAAGTTTCTTTTATTTGCTCAATTTTTTTTAATTTCATTGGGTGTTTAAGGGTGTAGTTCGTTTAATGTTGTTTTTTTTTTTCTTTTCAATTTGCTGGTTTAATAAGAGGTGCTAATTTATACTGCTGTATTAAAACGAAGCTTTGAATGAAATTTTTAGTGCCAAAATTATGATTTGATTTTATCTACTTTGTAATTTTGATGGCAATGTTGCTGTTGTTGGTTTTTGATATTCTGTATAATTGTTGTTATTGGATGATAATTTCATTCTACCACTAATAACAACTTCTTCAATCTTCCAGTCCCAGATTTTTCCTGTGTCAAAAAAATAAATAAAAAAATTGATAAAATTTTGGATTTCTTGAGAGTTTCAGATTTTGTTAATATGTAATAGTGTGAAAGGTTTTATAATCTACAGTTATAATTTCAATTTCTCATTTCTGATGATCGGGCGAAAAGGGAAGTTAATTTCAAAGACATAACTTGGCTTAGTTATTTAGAATTTTGAAGTTTTTTTCTTTATGAAAAATTGAAGATTGGAGATATTAGAAAAGTCTAGTGCATCACTTGGTAAAACTAGTTACAATATTAAAAAGGGTTTATATATTAGTCTTATTGTAGTTTAATGAAGAAGTTTGGTTCCTTGTTAGGATTGTGAATCTAATTATTTCAATGATAATTCAACTTAAGACTCTTACAAACATTGGTATGACAATTGGGTACTTCATTTTGGACCAAAATAATGCAATATCTTATAAAGTGGCACACTTGGGGCCTGTTCTCTTACGTTGAAATTCAGTTCAGTTCAGTTCCTAATTTCCTTCTCTTAAAAAATATTCAGTTCAGCTCAGTTGAGTACAGTCAATGAAAACGGGCCCTTGGATTATTTTACAATTACGGCGTACCTTGTGGGCTGTTGTGGCCAAGTCTGACATGACACTTTAATTGAGTCCGAGTAACATAAATAACAATTAGCTTCAGTTAATTATATTCTATTCCTTTTTTTTTGGGTTATAAGTGCAAAGAAGGATTGTTTGGCCTAGAGCTATATTACATGGACTCGGATGAAGTGTCCAATTAGACACGGGTGTCCAAGTATCGGACTCGCCCATTTTCTTGAAAAATATTGTGTTTTTAGTTATAAATGAAGTGCCAAAGTGACGGTGTCGGTGTCTGACACGAGTCGTGTCGACACGGACACGTGAGGTAAATGAAAGAGTCCGAGTAACATAGGCCTAGAGAATCCTGGTGTGTTAAGATATTGTGGAGCAAAAAAGTACTATGACATTTTGAAATCAAAAATTTTCAATTATATAAACTTCAGACACTATAAATTGAGGCAAAGAGCTGAGTTACGAGTGTGAAGTGTTCCTTCTTCATGTAATATTGTAATGGCTTGAATCTTGGTGTTTTTATCTGTTATATTTCTGAAGTATATTTCTATTTTTCAAGGTTAACTCCTCCCAATACTACTTTTGAAATTGTAACACACTCCCAAAAAGAAATGTATCATATAAATTGGAATCGGGGAGGGGGAGATAACAGAGAAGGCGAGGGAGGAGGATATGGGGTGGGGGTGGCTATAATGGAGGAGAGAGAAAATGGGATGCATGGTATTAAGACAGGAGAGAAAAGGGGTTAATTTAGAGAGGAGAGAGAGTGGGTTGCTATGGGCGGGGCTGTGTGGATTCAGGGTAAATCTGACTTTTTACCACAAAAATGCATTGCTAAAAAGGAAATGAGTCAACCGAAAAGAAACTTCCCAAAAAAAGAATACGTGTCAACTAATTTAGAACGGAGGAAGTAACTTTTATTTGATGTATAGCGAGACTCGGAATGGGTTACTTTCATGCTCTTTGTAACTAGTTCATAATAAGTACTTAGTAGAAGGTCCTCTTTGCTAAGATTCTACTGTTTTCCTCTCTCTTCAGGGATCTGCATTTTGTCAAATTTTTACAATAGGCATCTTTGACTGATTCCTAGCCCTAGTTGACATTCATGCTCTCCATATGTTGGTCCACAACAAAAACTTCAAAGAAACTTCTCTGCCATGCTAATGTCCTTTTCTCTTTCAACAAGGATCCACTATCATATTGTTGCATCCGAAAGTTGAGTTATGTAAATGTGTATATGAAATGGAAAAAGAATCGCAGCTATGACTCAATTGAAACAATTTACAGAAGCCCAGAATTGAAACCATTGATATCTCTTAAAAATTGCATTGCCCAAGCTCCTAGTGGCTGCATTCCAATCTCAGATGTATCTAAAAGGGGTTTAGTATTGGATGTGCCCATCAAAGTTGCGAAGCTTTTGAGGCGGTATCCTTCTGTCTTTGAAGAGTTCGTGGGGCCCCAATACAATTTGCCATGGTTTAGATTGACCCCAAAAGCAATGGAGATTGACGTGGAGGAGAAGGCGATTTATGAGGATTATAAATTGGATTTGCAACTTAGGCTGAAGAAGTTGATATTAATGTCTAGAGAGCAGAGGTTGCCATTGAGGATAATTCAAGGAGTTCAGTGGTATTTAGGTCTGCCTGACAATTTTCTGAAAAATCTTGATAGTTCTTTTAAGTTTGTGGAAATGGAAAATGGAGATAGAGGATTAGCCGTAGAGGGTGAAGAAAAGATGATGTCCATTTTGCAGAAAAATGCTGTACAGAGAGGACAGAGCAATGGTGGATGGATCGAGCCAATACCATTCCCGCTTTTTCCCTCGAGAGGTTTGAGATTGAAGAGAAAGATTTCGGCCTGGTTGGATGAGTTTCAGAAGCTTCCTTATGTGTCTCCATATGAGGACTTTTCACATTTGAGTCCAGATAGTGATATAGCAGAAAAAAGAGTCGTGGGTGTTTTGCATGAATTACTCAGCCTCTTTGTAGAAAATGCTGCTCCAAGGAAAAAACTACTGTGTCTTAAAAAGTTTTTGAGCTTGCCTCAAAAGTTTCACAAGGCATTTGAGCGACACCCACATATGTTTTACCTTTCCATGAAGGCCCATACCTGCACAGCAATCCTGAAAGAGGCTTATGAAGATGAGGCTGCTATAGAGAGGCATCCCTTGTTTACCGTGAGAGAGAAATACATAGAGCTGATGAATGATTCTGATAGGATCCTAAAACAACGGAGGTCAAATACTCACTTTGCCTATAGAGAAGTTGCTGATTCAGAGTCTGCCTCAGATTTAAATTCAGAATGCGCTGTTGAAGATTGTATAGTAGTGGATAAGAGCTCCTTTTAAGTACATGTTATCAACAACTTGCAGCTAGATAGAGGTCTGTATATCTTTCAAATATTGGCTGATGTTACAAAATATTGGAATTGTTTAAAAATTATTAAAATGTTTTATAAAGTCATACAGAGATAAAGAATGAAATCTATCCCTGAGCCCATTCCACTTTTCACTACATTCTCCTGTCCCAAGTAAGAGCTTCATGATTTTTTCATATGGCTTATGTTATGTTCCTTTTCTACCTCTTGTTCCTTGTTTTTGATGAATTAAACCATGGAGGTTTCTGACTGTCAAGCTTTTATTCACTGTGATAATCTGCACCCACCTCAAGTACTTATTCTTTATTTTAAACCTTATTCATGCAGTGTTTTTTTTTTTTTTTTTTTTTTTTTTTTTTTTTTTTTTTACAATAAAAGAAAATTTTAATTAGCAAGGTGAAATTTTACAAACAAATCCAATACAAGATAGATGATGAAAACACCTATAGGATCCATCTTCCTACCTTCTAGAAAAGGTGAAAGAAAGAAAATCTTCATATGCCAGTATCTTTCAGAGACTTCAGAAACCAAAGCAGTTTACTTGACTAACAGAACTTCATTTATTCAATCAATTCATCAGTAGACCTGGAGAGAAAATTGCCTTAACACTGCTTCACTAGACATACATTTGCCATTAAAATTTAATTATTCCTCACATGAATTGCTTTGTTCTGGCTAACACCGGGGGGTTAAGAACCGCTTATGCTTCAGTATGTTCATCACCGCTGGCTACTATCTTGTGCAAACTTGGCCTCTACACCAGACCCTTCTTATAGGAAATGTACAGGGGCCAAACTGACCTTATTTGAGTGGCTCTGATATTTATAAGCAGCTAAGCACTTGTGCACCAAGTGCTTGTGCCTACTTCTCAACTTTCTTTCTGGAAAAGGAAGAAAGTGCTTGACAACATTTTATGTAGGTGCTTGTAAACTGCTCACAAACTTCGAGGAATTAAATCTCTGTGCTAATTTGGAAAATATACTGCACTTGTTTCAGGTTTGAGTTTTGATTTGTATGTTGTGCTCCTTTTGATTTCTAAATTGCAAGTGGTTTTTCTAGGTTTCGGGAGGATTATAGGAGTGTCCTTGGGAAGTTGTTTGACGAGACTTGTTCCTGCTGAAAGGCACTTTTGATCAGTGTGTTGCTGGTGTGAAATAGTTTTGATGATTGTTGGGTGTGCATTAGATAGACTTTCAGGTCAATGCTGGTGATTGATCTGGTAACATAAAGGTCAGTGTACATGAAGCTAAGTATCGTACTTATGGAAATCATCAAATTTCTCTGTTATGCATTCTTGTTACTCCAATTATCTGCATATGATCTATGTTCTGACTTTTATGCAGACTAGAATTTTGTGCTGCCTTTTCCTGTATACAAATACCATTTTAGTTTGAATTCCTCTACCATAGCTATCTTGTATAATGTTGCTTGTGTTGTCCGTCAACAGCTCCTGATCATTATCTTGTATAGTGATGGTTTGAGGGAATAGGCAGTCAAGTTCAGAATATGTGGAATGAACACCGGCCTGAGAAGCTGCATTCAGCATCAGGACTATATTGATGAAGCACAAGCTGAATTTTCAGCAACGAATAACTTGCTGACACTGACCAAAAGACCTTGCTTCCAGAACAACTTTGTTGGCTGTGCCATTATTGTGAGACCGTCTTGAGATGACCTCACCGAAACCTAAGCAATTTAGCCATTGACGTCCCTTATTCTTCTTGAAGAGGGGAAGTTTCATGGATTGCTTGTTGCTTTGCTTCAAACTAACGAACCAGTTACTAGTCTTGTAGTGGGAGCATATACAATTATACATCACTTTAGGCCTCAGCTTTATTCTACATTGAACTTCGGATTTATGCTGTATATTGGGATTATATAGGGCCATTTTGGGACTGTTGTAATATTACAGAGGCTATTATAGAAGCATAAACACTCGATATTGGTCATGAGTTTTTGGAGATAGGGAGGCGGACTAGGCGGGTGTTGTATGTAATTAGTGTTTTATCTCACTTGAATGACTTGATCAATGTTTAGGATTGAGAAATTCAATCCATTACTCTTAAGTCCAAGAAGAATGGGCTTGAACCAGAGTATTACGTAAGTCTATGTTCTCGAATTTTAATCCTAGTATCCAACCAATAATACCAAATTACCAAAGTACTAAACTAAAGATTGATGTAAAGCTTTTCTTTGTTCGGGTAATACGAGGATATAATTCAACTTTACGCTATGCACGAGAATTTATTATTTCTAACATTTAGACCTATTTGTTATCAAATTTTAACGATGAAAATCTGAAGTAATTCAACAAACTAAAGTCTATAAGGGATCACTTTAATTGTATTGCAAATCATGATATCTACTCCAATTCAATAAGTAATTCAACTCTAATTTGTCATGTTTTTATTGGCTAGAATAATGGGATCAAGTTCCATTATAATCAATTTAGGGCCTGTTCTCTTCCGTTAAAATTCAGTTCAGTTAAGCTCAGCTCTTAATTTATGTCTAATGATATAACAACAACAACAACAATAATAATAATAATAATCAATAAGTAATAAATAATAATAATAATAATAATAATAATAATAATATCAATAAATAATAATAATAATAATAATAATCAATAATTAATAATAATAATAATATTAATAATAATAATAATAATATGTACATTTGTATATACACATATGTATAGTAATAAATAATCAATAAATAATCAAAGATCACTAATCCGTAGTTAAAAATCACTAATTAATAAGTTCAGTTCAGTTCAGCTGAGTTCAGTCAATCGGAACAGACTCTTATACTTGACTTATATTTTTCTCCCTTTTTTAATGATGTGTCAAATTTCTAATAGTGTTGTATGTAGGGACAACATACAATGGTTGTATGTGTATCAACTCTCTATTCATTACCTACGGAATAGTTTTTTGTGTATGTTAAGACATTTGCCTTGCATTGCCACACATGCTTGTCAAAAGCTTTTTTTTTTTTTTTTCAAATGAGTGTAAGATATAAACTGGTCACTCTCAATCTAACTTTATAAAATAAATAAATCCACATTATAAATATGTTTACAAAAAAACAAATTACATTATTTATTTATTTATTTATTTATTTTTAAATATTTAGTAATTACGGACCAAACATTTGGAAGTAGAAGGGGAGGTTGAGGAAATCCCTACCTCCAATCTCTATCTCTAAATACCTTCACTAGGTAGGATTTGAACCCTAAACTTCTAAAATTTAAGGTGAGAGTCTTATAAAATGAGCCAACACTGTCAATATGAAATTATAAAGGGATAATTTTGATGGGATTAGATGTGTTGGGTGTACATTATACATTATTCTTGTAAAATACCATGTACTTTGTATTGATAAGCCATGAAAGAAAATAAATAAATAAATAAATAGATAATACAAGTAATAAAAACATACAAGTAAAAGATTTTGCCTAAGATAAATTGTCTAGGTTCATGTGCTTTAGAGGCTTAGAGCTAAATTTTGTCCACATTGAGCATCGAGTTGACAATGAGCTTTTGTGATTTGATTTATTATTTTTTTAAAAAAATTAAATAAAAATCAGTCAAGTGCAACTTGGGTTGCGTGACTTGCGTCTAATTGCAAATGCAAAGCGTCAAATTCGAATGCTAAAAATGTAACACTTACATGTGGGCAGTATATATGTGTTTCTATTACAACAATTGGTATTTGTATATCATGCTAGTTAGTGGTTAGTAATTAGTATCTTACTTTTTTTTATTTTTAACTAATAACACTTCTAGAAACAAATGATGATAAAGTTTTTTTTAATCAAATGTAAATAAAAAAATAAATAAATAAAAAAAAAAAATGTTGATCAAAGAATAGAGTTTAATGCATGATCTTGGGTAGTGACTTTCCTTCTAGGAAGGATCTTAGTATGAATAGTATCCCATGTTTAGAGTCTCAAAATAAAAATCCGTAAAAGTATTGTGATTATTATTTTTTAAATTAAAATTTTGTTATTGTTGGAACTCTCCATTTATTTCTAATTAACTTGTTGGAAAATAATGTAACTTTAAGGGGTATTAAGCAAATTTGTGTTATGACAGATTAATTATGCATTTAAAATAGTTAACATAATAGTTCAGTAAATTTGTGTTATGGCCGGTTGAGATAATATTTTAATATTTTGTAAAGAAGTGATGCATTCTTTTTATCAGATATCAATTACAGTATTACAAATTTGTGCTCAAAATAGTTGAGGACTGAACTCGAATAACTCCTTTGATCCCAAACTTATCAACACTTTAGCCATTATCAACTTTAAAATTTACTTATTATAAACTTATTATTTATGTATTAAACTTATATTTCCTCCGTTCTTTTTTACTTGATCCGCTTTGACTTTTAAACTATTTACTACCTCTCCTTTGACCATCTTTTATGAATGATATGTAAGGAAAAATATATTCATGTGAGATCTTTTTGAATTCGTCTCAATAAGTACTATCATAATATACAACTTTTATAATTTTTACTTATGGAGAATTAAGGTTATTGATCGCTAAAGTTTTATATTGGCAAACGTGATAAAAGAAACAGGTCAAGTGAAAAAGAACAGAGGAAGTACTTCTTATGAACTTATCTTAAGGCCTGTTCCGATTGACTTAACTCAGCTGAACTGAACTGAACTGAACTGAATTGAACTTATTAATTAGTGATTTCTAACTACGGATTAATGATCTTTGATTATTTATTGATTATTTATTACTATACATATGTGTATATACAAATGTACATATTATTATTAATAATATTATTATTATTATTATTAATTTTGATTATTATTATTATTATTTATTGATTATTATTTATTGATTATTATTGTTATTATTATTATTATTGTTATTATTATTATTATTATTTATTGATGATTATTATTATTATTTATTGATTATTATTATTAGTATTATTATTAGTATTATTATTGTTGTTATTATTATTATTATTTATTGATTATTATTATTATTATTATTATTATTATTATTATTATTATTATTATTATTTATTATTATTGTTGTTGTTATTATTGTTGTTGTTGTTGTTGTTGTTGTTGTTGTTGTTGTTGTTGTCGTCGTCGTTGTAATAAGAGCTTAAAAGAATGAAATTTGGCTTTATATCATTAGCAATATCATTAGACGTAAATTAAGAGCTGAACTGAACTGATCTGAATTTCAACGGAAGAGAACGTATGTGTTTAGAGCAAGTGAATATAGTAGAATGTAAACAATACAATTAGGTGTTATATATTAATTTAATGTTGTTTAGGAGTTCTTTTTGGATACTATGGGCCTGTTCTCTTCCGTTGAAATTCAGTTCAGTTCAGTTCAGCTCTTAATTTACGTCTAATGATATTGCTAATGATATAAAGCCAAATTTCATTCTTTTAAGCTCTTATTAATAATAATAATAATATTAACAATAATAATAATTATAATCAATAAGTAATAAATAATAATAATCATCATCAATAAATAATAATAATATAATAATAATAACAATAATAATTGAAATAATAATACTAATAATAATAATCAATAAATAATAATAATAATCAATAAATAATAATAATAATAATAATCAATAAATAATAATAATAATAATAATCAAAATTAATAATAATAATATTATTATTATTATTTATATGTACATTTGTATATACACATATGTATAGTAATAAATAATCAAAGATCCCTAATCCGTAGTTAGAAATCACTAATTAATAAGTTCAGTTCAGCTCAGTTCAGTTCAGTTCAGTTCAGTTCAATTCAGCTGAGTTCAGTCAATCGGAATAGGCCCTATATTAATTTGTAGCAAAAGATACCTTGTGAATACCTTAAAAATATAAGGATATGCTTTTTTAGTCTTATTAAAATAAAAAATTAAAAAAATCAGTGAAACTTTTTTAAACTGGAAGCTCACCATATATTACACCCATAAACATACAAATACATTCATATTCTATCACTTAGCTTGCTTTATGAAATCATGGTGAAACTTCCCTCCACCTTCTAAAAAGAGTTGAAAACGACCAATTGACCATAATAATATGAGAAACATTTGTTTTTATGTCTTAATATAAAGGAACTTCATCTTGCAAGGAAATTAATTTTGTAAATTCCCTTAAAGTAAATCACATTATTTTTTTTTTTTTTTATTTTATTTTTTTTTTTGTGTGAAAAGAGTCGCATTAATTTAGAATTGATTCAAATAGAACTTTAAATGAAACATAGTGAATGCATTTTACAAGTAAGCTATCTCTAAAAGGCTAAAAGCCTATAAATGTAGATAACTTTATTATATGCTTAAAAAAATTATCACACAAACATAAGCAAATTTAAGTTCACAAATCACAATCCCTTAAAAAAGATATAATAAAGTTCATACATAATGGGATCAAACCAAACAAAAAAAGCCAACCAATAGATGAAAGGTAGATCAAAAAACCAAAATTAAATTGAGAAAAAAATATTTAAAAATGGAGGTCAATATCAAAGTAACAACTCTCAAGGAAATAGAAGTATATAAATGTAAATATAAATAAATATAAATGTATAAGTAAATTTAACATCATTTTCTTAATGCCAAAGTCAGAAGTAATACCTTTACAGGCTAATGTTGCAAATGTTACCTAATCTGTGGTAATGTCTTCAATCCTTTAGTTGCTTTCTAAGCATAAATGAATTTACAAACTGGTACCAATAGGCCTGCAAAACTACATGACACGTGTCATTTTGGTAATGGACCTATTACCTTCACCCCATAAAAACAAAACTTAAAGACATGTTGCTATCACTAAACACTATAAATACTCTTCTTCTGTTTTAATTAATTAATTAAATTAATTACAATTGGTTGTCCCAATCAATTATGACATTTTGAGCACTTTTGTGTTTGAAGTATCTAGTGAGTATATGATGTATGGCATTTATGTACAAGGCTATATGGTATATTGGAATGAGCTAAGAGATGAAACTTGATAAAAGATACTTTGTATGACACATAGAATATGTGAATCAAATTTAAAGAATCAATGAGTGTTTTGTAGTAGTACTAGTTGGACTTTGGACCATAATGTTTAAATTTAGTACCAACTTTTATTTACATGGTAATATTATGTATGTATACATGTGATTGTCTAACAAGTATTATGTAATTTGTAAGGATATGTTTTCTTTACCTGAATTAAAATTAAAACTCACTTAACCTTATTACAATTTATTAACCTTGGTTGCAAGAAAGTAAACTTACGAGTGTGATGAGTTCATTGTCCATGATTGAACTTTTTGGAATCATCTGAATTATTGGACTTATAAACCTATTATTTAGTGAAGATCATAGCAGAACACACCTCTAATCTACTTTGCTTTTTTACTTTGTGTTTGATGCATCTAGTGCGTAAATGATGTATGTCACATTTATGTACAATGCTACATTTAGAATGAGCTAAGGGATGAACTTTGAGAAAAGATGTGATACATAGAGATGTAATTAATCAAATTTGAAGAATCAATAAGTGTTTAGTATGTAGTCTATTAATTGGATTAAAGAGTTTAGTCCCAATTTTATACCTTTTTGTTTTTTTGACAAAACTTTATATCTTATTATACCTAAGTATACAAATGATTATCAAAACAAGTAACTTATAAAAGTGCATTATCTTAATTTGTAAAGTTGTAATCTATTTGAAACGACCTTAATTGAGCTTATATACCCATGATTAAGTGGCTGTTCTCATACGTTTATTTTCAGTTTAGTTCAGTTCAACTCAGTTCCTAATTTCCTTCTCTTATAAAATATTCATTTCATTTCAATTCAATTCAGTTCAGTTCAGTTCAGCTAATTTCAGTCTGTTAGAACAAGCCCTAAATCTCATTGGAGCTATTAGAACCAATTAATTATTAAATAGTAAGCTTACTGGATCGAACAAGATTAAAACTTATTGGAACGAACATGATTAAAACTTATATAAACTCATTAAAACTTAATTAATATTTTTATTTTAAGAAAAGAGAACACGTCTTTAATCAACTTTACACTTCACTTCAGTACATGCGTTATCACATGTACGTACAAGACACATGTAGAAAGTAATATAAACACTTCGTGTACCTCACATGACGGAAATAACACATAGATTCCTATAGAAGCATACATACAAGCCTGAGCTACCAGGGCATAAACTCTTATCGGCAACCTAGGTCATCACATATGGTAGGAGCAACACAATTATAGTGAACAATTAATGAGTTAGACGAGTAACAAGCAAAAGAACACAACCATAACCCAATTTCATGCCATTATACATATATATCTTGTTTATTGTTTCCATTTCTTATTTCAGCAATAGATGGAATCACTTTAATTGAAAGGAGTATAAATATAGTGACCACCTAATTAATAACAATAATAATTAAGGCAGTGGTATGATTTTGATAGGTTGAGATGCTGTTTTCTGCTTTTGGGTTCTTTTTATGTGAACCTTATATGCAAAACCTAGGTAGCTACTTCTAGCTAATCCATGCAAAATATAAATAAAATAATAAACATAGCAGATTAATCAAAAATTAAAATATTTTTCATATTAACATATCTTATTTTGACCATAATCTTGTACAATTATGTGCAATAGAAACTTTAAATTCATCTTTATGTATATATTTAGCATATATATCAACTTATGGATCGATAAATATACAAGTCAAAGTAATGCATGTATTTTGTAACAGGTCGAGTAAATAAAAACCATTTTTTTTGTTGGTGGTGAATATGGTCCCCATTATGACCTGCACTATTTTGGGATCAAGGTTGATGCGAACTATACAGAGAAATCACAGCTGCATTAGAGAAAGAGTAGTAAAAAGAGATGAAATTAAAAACAAAAAAAGCTAAGATAAAAAAAAGACTAGTTAATACTTAATAGTTATTGTTAATTTGTTATACTAGTGGGTGAGTGAGTTGAGTGAGTGTGTGCATGTGGTGGCCTGATGGAAGTAAGCGTGATAATATTGAATTAAATTTGTTTCTCTCCTAACTTTGGGACCACTCTCGTCTACTCTTCCTATGTCTATGTCTATGTCTATGTCTATGTCTATGTCTACGTCTATGTCTATGTTTGTGTCTTTGTTCTTGCTTTGCTTTACTCTTTTTCTAAACTCCTTTGCTTTCAACTCCTCAATTAATGCCTTAATTTATTATTCTTCCCAATGTCTTCATACTTAGGTCACGGGACTTTCTGGTAAATTTCATTGCTCACTTACTGGATGTGTGTATCGGTTCGTTCGTTGCATTGCGTGCGTATGGTACACCTGGATCGACTCTTGTTGTATAGGCAATAAATATAAATGGCTAGACGGCTAAACGTAGAAACTAAAAACTTTATTTTTAAGTTGAAAAAAAAAAACCCTTATATAGGGACTTTAAACATAAGTTCAGGTTTTTGGTTGAGTCGGCCCAACAATATATGACATCAAGGGCCTGTTCTCTTACGTTGAAATTCAGTTCAGCTCAGTTCAGCTCCTAATTTCCTTCTCTTATAAAATATTCAGTTCAGCTAGTTCAGTTTAGTTCAGCTCAGTTCAGTACAGTTCAGTTCATCTGAGTTCATTCAATGAGAACAGGCCCCAAGTGTCAGCTAGCTTAAGGAGATAAGATAGAATATAAAATTAATTATGAGGCTATTACCATAAGTTAAGGCAATAAGGCATAGAGTATTAGAGTGAATGCATGCATATCTGCCTATGAGGCTGACCTTCTTATCTTCCACTCCCCCTCTATTTTTTTTAACATGTTTACATGGTTTTCAATATATACCATCTGATTTTGAGATCTGTATCTGTAAATATAGAGTAATTATTGTTAAAAGAGTTTAAATTGTAATTTTCAACTATATTTTAAAAACAAATCTAACAAGAGATGTATTCTAAAACGGACCAAGTATTTTTGGGCTTTCATGCATGCTAGATTGCTAGCCAGCAACAACAATTTGTGGATGGTAAATTCTTAATCACTAATTAGACTAATTTCTTCACAAACCAATATTTGAAAAATAGTGGAACTTTGTTGTAATTGAATATCAACAAAATGAAAAGTTGCTAGACATATTAATGAGTAATGGCAACATAAATTTATTGATATAGGAAGTATTATAAAGTAAAAGAAACACTAATTTAGATTATACAGTTTTCTTTGTGTTGTAAATTCACCATGGTTTGATCACAATTATGTTAAATACAAATTAGTCATAATCACTAGCTTTATAAACCATAATTATCAAATCATGCATTTCATCTTACTTTGGGTTGATAAAACATCCCACGAACGATTTGATTTTTTGTTTGTCCTTGGCTTATTCATAGGCTCATTCATAATTTTGTGTATTCATAGAATGAGTTTAAGGTTTAATTTAAATAACTTGTATTGAAAGACATGAGCTTGATTTATGAAGTTATGAGAAAAAGAATGTTCAAAGGATACAATTATCTCATTTATCTGTAGTGCTTTAATACAAGAAAAAAAAAAACTCCTAATACAATTTTTAAGATTTAGGAAAGATATAAAAATCAAATAATATAATTAATTAGTGATTACAAAATAAAATATCAATGGTATTTACACAACATAATATCCTATTATACCAAAAATTACATGATTTGATAATAATGTTGATACCAAGAGATATAATATCACACTTGGTATCAATATTATTACCAAATCATGTTATATTTGGTATAATAAAATATCATATTATACTTCAGATATTGTTACCTATGTTACAATAAGATATTATCCTATTATCCATTTACAATCTTTATAATATTAAATGAAATATTGCGAGTGATGAGAATTGATTCCATGACTTTCTGAAACCAGTAAAAAAGCTCTCAAGTACATGACCTATCCTTCACTTTCTCAAATTATGAAACTGCTAGGTTGAAAATTTGTCGGTACAATTCAAGTGTAATATTTCAGTTTTATTTGTTTGTTAGAAATTTTGAATAAAATTTAATGTATAACATTTCAGTTATATTTGTTTGTTAGAAATTTTGAATAAAATTTGATGACTTGTTCCCCTTTAATAACCAAAAACTACGTTATATAATACACTTACACCTTAAAATTCATACTCCCTCCGTCCTTTTATTAAAAGTCTATTTTTAATATTTATTACTTACATTAATAAGAGAAATGGGCTTCTAATTTAGGAACAGAGGGAGTACATAACAACGTTTAATTTTAGTTTAATTTGTGCAAATTTGGTTCATTTATTAGTCAAGATCAAGATTGAAAAAGAAGTCTCAATTGACCTTGTTTTCATTCTTTTCCCAAAAAGAATATCAATTCATCAATTGCATATGTCCTTAATAATGTGACTACTCGTAGCCCTTGCATTGTAGCCCAGATTTGTTGTTTGGTTTGGTTTACAAACATTATGAAACATTATCTTAGGTGATAAAATGTCTTTAAAAAATTGAACAGATAAAATTAATTTATTAAGTTAGATCGAAAAGTATCATCAATATACCTTAACTCGAATTATTGTTAAAAATATCACATTCCAAGCAACAAAAATCTAAAATCTACTTCTTTTATTCGACCTTTAACTTTTACATTAATTTTAAATTATTATAAATCACGCCTTAAGAAAGAAAAATAGCTCTAAAAAGATAGTTATAAATTTATAATCACCTAAACTATATATGAAAAAAAAACTAACAAGTCTAACCGTCTATTATATTTGTCTTTCTCTTTCTCTTTCCTTTTTTTTATTTGAATAGAGAAAACGCCTATTATAGTTGTCTTTGCACAAAAAAAACTTAATTTATGCCAAATACAAGTAGAAAAAGACAATTCTTTCCAAAAAAAAAAAAGAAAAAGACAAATAAAAAATATATATAACCCCTGGAAAATAAATAAAAATAAGAAAATTACCACCTATACCCCTGAACCCTCCCTATCTTTTCTACAGTTCCCTCCTATATATATACACACTATTTTCCTCTCATTTTCCGTATTCCTCACTTCTTCTCTCATTCTCATCATTTTAGTTGTTGAACAACACCAACAACAACAAAAACTTCGAGAGAAAAACACATAAAACACACAAAAAAAAGAAAAAAAAAAGTTGTTCGTTTTTCCGTCTTCGTGCCTTAGTAGCAGTTGAAGCTGCCAGCATGATCTGAACTTTCTCTCCCTCTTTTCCCCTATTTCTTTTTTTTTTTATTTTTCTCTATTCTCCTTGTTTTTTTTTCTTCTGTTTCGTTCTCCTTGTCGAGAAAGATTAGATCATGTGGTAGCTTCACCTGTTGACGAGAGCACGCTCGAAAAAAGGAAAATATTTCAATCCGTCAAAGTTATCAACATATGTTTTGGTGATACATATATATTTCATCTCAAGGTATGTGTTATGCCTATTATTTCTTAATCATATGATATATATTTGTGTGCTATGTTATATGTGAAGAATTTTTCCAAAAAAAAAAAATGTTATATGTGAAGAATTAATCTAAAATGATTAGAGGGTGAGAAATTATATGCAGTTTTTGCTAGGGTTTTGTGGAAAATTCTTATTTTTCATTTTTTTTTTGGATCGTTGAATTTTAATTTATCTTTTTTAATTTTATAATTGATTTGATTATACTTAAAAAAAGGTTTTTAAGATCCCTCCTCGAGTCTTGGGGAAATAAGCTTTTTATATATCCCTTCCATGCACTGTTCCATATAGATTCTTTGAAATTAATTTAATTAATGGACTAATTTTATGTTAAGTTAATTGCACCTACTAATTACTAGGAGATAAAACTTCTTTGATTTGATTTATGCGTCTTATCGTGTTTTGTTTGTTAGTAGATCTATCTAATTAAGTCAAATCGTGATTTTCTCCTATCTAATTGACTATTTAATTAAATAATTAATTATTTAATTGTTTCTAACCACTTCTTCTTTCTTGTTTCCTTAACTTGTTCGTACATAAAACAGATTTTATTTTATGGGTTTAGAATGAAATTAATTTAAAAAATTAAGACTAAAAATATTACATTGGTTGTTGCTTTATAAAATGGGAATTAATGATGAGGTTGTGCACCGAAAGAGGGGTAGATTGAAAAAGAAAGCAAATTGAAAGTACAATGTATATATACATGTTTTCATTTAAAGCATTTTTATAATTTCAGTTAATCATCATCATACATGAAAAAGTTTATAGATCCAAGGTCATGTGATAATTTTTCTTCTAATGTTTTTTTTTTTTATACTATTAGTAGAATAGTATTACAAGGCGGCTCATAATTTTTGAAGAAAAAATGTGGAAGTTAAGGAAATGAATTTGTAACAAGTTGCATATATTCCACACTTATACATTCTTAAGGGGTTGTTCTCTTCAAATTATTTTAGTTCAATTTAGTTCTTAATTTCCTCCTATCATAAAATATTCAGTTCAGTCAATTAGAACAAACCAATTTTAAAGTCGATTAGTGTTTGTTTAGTAATCAGATAAAGTTTGACTAGATTATTTGCATCTTTATTCGAATTTTCTAGTGGTAAGACTAGTTAAAGTATTACATTAGGTCTTACGTTCGAATCTCCTTTCCGTTGTTCTGGTATGAACCGGTCCCCGACCTTAAAAGTTATTGTAGGTAGTCTTATCTCAAAGATGTACAAACACATGTAGCCAACTATTTTGGAACAACTAGATTCTTAGCTTACACAATGTTTCTACACATTACACACTCTTAAATTTTTTTAAGGAACGAATTGAAAAAAAGTTGCAATAGCCATTGAATGCCTAAAATCTGAGTAGTCTTATCTGAAAAAATGTACAACACATATAGCCAACTATTCACAACCATTTGATTTATTTTGATAGCAATGGCTTTTATTTGCAACATTATCTTTTGAGCACATTTTGGATTATTTTCATCATGAATTTTGTTTTGAGCACATTTTGGATTACTTTCCGCATGAATTTTGATACAACAAATTTGACGGTTTAATCTTTTGTGTGACTCTAAAACATTCAATGTTATTACTTGCTGTCTCTCTCTCCAGTTGTTATTTGTTTGATGTAACATGTGGTTATTCAACATGACATAATTAATAACGTGTTCTAGGTGTATTAAATGACATTAAAGTAACTCTATTGAGGAGATTAGTTTAAATTAGCATTTTGACATATCAAGTCTTGAACGTTTAATTACTTTTCATATTTTGTTCTTTCCTAGTAATGCCAACCAAGTAGCATAGATTAATTTGGGTTTAAACTATACCTATTACAAGTAGTATTAAACTATAACGATTACAGAGTATATATTTAAAAGCATAAACTACTACTGTCACACATCTATCCCATGATTTATTTCTTTTTTCTATTTGCTTAATATTTTTTACAAGTAAATACTAATGATGACCCTGTTAATTTCTCTTAAACTCGCCGTATTTTCCATAAGAAGAATACATTATGAAATACACTTTGTTTTTCTTAGTTTTATAATTAAGAGTGTGTTGCACCGGTCAACAAACTTGTTAGAATAGTCTCATTTACTTACTTATTTGCTTTGAAACTACTTTGCATTGTATTTTAGTTCCCATTTCTCATTTGTTAGCTACTCTATATGCAATACATCTTTAAGATTCGATATCTTGAAGACTTATTAGGTTGTGGAAGATGTGTTAGATGTAAATAAAAATTGTCTCATTTAGTAATGAAATAACTCATTTGGTTTTCATGACATTTATTGATATGTATCCTTTCAAAAAAGATTACAATAGCTACTTGTTTGAAAAAAGTTTCCTACCTTCGAACTATCAATTAAGTTTATTTTATACCCTAAATTATTTTTGTAAAATATTTTTGCACCCTTAAAAGAAAAGCTAGTTTCTTGTATTATGTACAAGTTGTTATAATGTTCTTGATTAATTGTGTATTTTTTTAAAAAAATTATCAATTTTGTAAATTTAAATTATATCTTTAGTAAAACAAATACAAGAGCTTCTAGTCTTCTAGATATTGAAAGTCTATTCCATGCTAATAACTCTAAGAAGAACCCAGGCCACTTAAACAAAAGGGAACAAAAGGGCACAATGCAACTCAATTTCGTAGTTTAACCTTATAAATCAATAATAGTTTCATGTTATATATTCTAAACCTAATCAACTCATAATTTATTCTTATATAATGATAAATCATATATGGCCGATACTACGTATATTTTTTTTTACTAATTTATCGATCTAAATGGCTGTTCATTTAATAGAGATTATTAAAATCATGATACACTTACAACTAATTATGGGACATTGTTCACATTTAAGCACAAAATAACACAAAAGATCATAGAGCTAGCTATAGTTAGCTAGTAATTGTAAAACTTGTAATCTCATGATCTTAATGATATGGTTGTTGGATGAGTTTATGTCATATTCATTATTATTTTGTTGGGGAACCCTATTTAGCTACACAACACAAAAACTTTTATAAATTTGATAAGCAAACAAATTTTGCCAACTTGAGCCAACAACAATAAAAACAATAATATTTATGTATAATTCAAAAAAAAAAAAAAAAAAAAAAAAAAACAGAAATCCGGATTAAAATTTTGTCTTGACTATGTATCATTGAATAGGATCACATGCTCTTTGTTGGCAACATATTTATAAATAGTAAGGTGAAAATTATATAAATATGAAAGAAGGTAATATAATATTCTAAGGTACGTGTATATTTGTATGCCATTAATGGGAGTTTCCTATGATAAACAAAAAACTAGAACCCTTAGAAAAAGGTGGGGTTGTCCCCAACACCATGCTTATATTAGCTTTCTCGTCTTTTTCTAAGTATTTCAGGAAACTTATATTTATTTTGTATGTATATATGATCTCAGTTTATATGTTACAAATAAAAATAAATAAATAAATAAATAATATATATTTAAAAATGAAAAAAAAAAAGAAAGAAATAAAAAAGAACTGTGGGTTGTGACTTGTGAACATGCAGGTGACGTGCGCATGCAAATGATATGGTCCAGCTTATTATCATGGTCCCTGCCTGCTGCCTTAGCTTGGCTAACTTATACTCCTACTTAGCTTTCTATACCATACATATATACCTATTGTTTCTTGGCTTCTTTCTTCTTTTCTTTTCTTTTTCTTTGGAGGTGGGGAAAAAAGAATAGAAGATTTGAGGGATGATAGGATGTGTCATATGTGTGTGTTTATTAGATCGATGACGACTTATGATCGAGGGTGTTGTTGAGAATTTACTTAAGCTATTTACGCTTTTAATGACGTTTTAGGAATACTGTGTGAAATTTTCGAAGGTTTAATGATGTGTTGGGATGGCCACAACCATTTATAAATACATATCTTATAGCATTTATGTACATTAACTTCCTTAGAAAACTTCTTAAGTTAATGTCACAACGGTATAATCTTGGCTAAAAAAATATCTAAAAAAAAAAAAGACGGGCGCATTTGCTAACAATTTTTTGTTCAAATGGAGTAGCATGCTAGTGCCTAGTATAGTAAGTCTTTAATGATGGAAAAAACAACAAATTAGGGCGATTCACCTTAAATTCACTTATTTCAAGTTTAATAGTTTCAATTAAGTTCAGGTAAGATGAGTTTAGGAAAAATGAGTTCTAATAAGTGTTACCGACCAAGTTCAAAATACAACTAAAATAATTGTAATTAATTCTAGTTCTAGCTAATCAGTTCAAGTAAAATAAGTTCGATCAGATAAGTAAAAATCAAGTGAATAGAACATATCTTTGACTTATGCCTCGAGAGAAACGGAGCTAATTATACTCGTGTATATCATGAGAGAAACAAACAACAAACAAGTAGCTCAACTTTCTCAAACAGTTTTTGGATTATATTTTAAACATAGATCCAAAGTTTGTTATGTAACATCCGTAGCTAACTATTGAAAGAGGTGAAGAAGCAAGCCACCGAAAGAAGTAAAGCTCTTCTGCAACATGCATGTCGAGCACATGCTTCATTCATCGGTGGCCGAAGATTAGGAAGCTGTTTAAGCCTCTCATGCATTTGAAAGCAACCACAAACCGTTACCAAATTGGGTCATGCATGATGTCCTATTCCATCATCATGTGCATCTTTTGCGCCCTATTGTTGCAAAACAGTTAACTTTTTTCCCATTTTTTGGATTTTGTTAGAGACTTCCTTTATACTATTGATTTTTATTTAACAATATTTATAGGATTGTAGATTTGTAGTGAGACTCATCATTAAGTTAGGTAACTTACATGACTACAATCAAATTCAAGATACCTAGTTAATTAGTAAGATACTAAAAGATTTCCTTCCCAAAAGATCCTAAACCTAGACATGAAAAGTACTTTGTGCATGTTCTCTATTAGTACATGCACCCCGATCCTGCAGTGTGAAAAGATCAGACGCTTAAATCTAAATAGTTATTAAATTATATCTAATAATAAATCATCAAACGTTGTCAAAAATAACTTATGATCAAATGGAGAAGCAACGACATTGTCCTAAGATGACGAGAGCTTAAGATGACGTGGGCCGAAGCATCAATAACCATGATCTATTAAAAGAAAATAGTATTGTTAGGGCAAAGGATCGGAGAAGGGCTGCATGCAAGTTAACATTTATGCTAAGATGCGGAGATTGACAAAAAGATACAGAGACGATTACTTAAGAGAGAGAATTAAAGGCCATCGTCGAGGATGTCAATATAGAAGGGAAAAGTAGGGGGCGAGGGAGAGAAAATGAGGGGAAAATGGAGCTCCATTTTTCTTCTGAATTTCTCCAATTTTAAGGGATAATGATGCTTATTAAAGAAGGAAGGAAAATAGATTCATTTCTCTAATCTTTCCCTTCATTTCGTCCCTCATATCCTTATCCAAAATGCATATGTAACCTCTTTCTCTCCCTTTTTCCACCCCTAAACCCTTATCCAAACAGAGGGAATAGTTCCCTCCCTTTCCTTTGCGTACCTAGCTAAACCTTCATCCAAACAAGGAACTTATATCCCTCCCTATCTATCCATTTCAAACAAAGTGTTAGAGTTATGACCTATGGTTAAGAAAGTATCAAGTTTTTTCAAGATCGTACGTAATTCTTACGTTTCATAATGATCGTCTTCCCAAGCCATTTTCCATTTTCCGAGTATATCAAAATGTTTGTCCCATATTGAATCTTACCATTTTGGAACATTTTTTTTCCACATTATATCGTCATGGTTAGATTTAAATCTCTAAAATGTCACCATATTCATTTGGATTTAATACCTTAGCTCTCATCCTTTCGCGCGTAATTAATCACCACTTCACTTCTTTCTCTTTCTTCAACCCCGTACATTCTCTCTCAATCAACAAGAACCCTAACACTCTCTCTCTCTCTCTCTCTCTCTCTCTCTCCCTCTCCCTCTCCTGAAATCGAAGCCTAACCTTTGTAATCACAAAATCATGATCCATTGCTTTGAAGCCCTGACTCTATTGTTCAAAATTCACGCTTTCTCTCTCTTTTCGATTCTATAGATCTATTAAATTAGGGAACTTTTCGATTCATTATCTCAAAAACGGTGTTTGCTCGTTAAACCCCCCCCCCCCTTCAAAAAAAAATGATGGTTATGAATCCATTAGATTACCATTGCTTAGTTCCTTTCGATTTTCTTTGTGCTTTAAAATTCTGATATCTGACAATTCATAGATTACACCATGAGCAATAGATTCTGGGATTGTCAAAACTTTTACAACACCTGGTAGTCTCTCCCCTATTTTATGATTTGTCTCTTTTTCTGTGGTTTTGTTATACGTTCAGTTATACATATACTCCAATTGGTTTATTTTAATGTTATCTTAAATTTTATTGGTTCATTGAAATAATCAAATATTGCACGCTGATTTGCAAGACAAGCATTTCAAAGGTCATAGTTTTGTTTTATATAACCGTCATACTAAAGTACTTTACCTTTTCAAGACAATAATAATAATAATAATTTCAGATTCATATCATCGTAAATGCATAACTGGATATTCGGCCAACAAGGATAGTTTTGAAGGCTGATTCTTAGAATCTTTCCCTTTCTAATTTATTTTGAAGATTCAATAAGGGAAGATCATATCGAAATAGAGGGGATATTTCATTTTATTATATATGTAATATTTATTGTTCGTGTCTAATTAATTAAATAGTTAATGCTATTATATCCTCTTTTGTGAACATATTTCGATTACTTGCTTTTCTGAAAAATATATATGGTCTTACTTGGTTATATTGATTGCATAATTGGCTACTATCTAATTGACTTGACTTGTTTGACCAAGTAATACTATTGTGTCAATAGTGTGTGTTAGTCGCCTACAAAGATATTTGGCAATAATTAAAGATGTACTAACCAAAACTATCTGTTAAATTAAAATTATTCTAAAGTTTTTTTTTTTTTTTGGTTATTGTCAAAAAACTATTATTTGATTTCAAATGTAGAGCCAATAAATAGCATTTGGTTTGGACTTCCCCTTAGAGAGCATATTAAGGTTAATTAAACTATTATAATCTATCAATTATTCTAAGACGATTACATAGGGGAATTACTAATTAATCATACAATTTATTTCATCTTAAAAATTAAATTTAATTTTCTAGCAAGTAATTCTTTTTCTAATGCAAGTAATTGTTTTCTTGAATATAATTCATTTTAAAATAATTGAAAAAGAAGAGTGAGTCCAAAACTCCAAATTGTCCGATTCATGTGGCTTAATACGCATGCTTGGTGTAATGATCTTACTATTCCTACATGCTCAACTAATTAAGTGGATGCCAGGGTTGAAACAGTACTAACAGTCACAATTTATGAATTGTACTTAAAAGGAACATTATGCCTATGCAAAGTCATATAGACTTGTAGGCTTGTAGTATCATAATTATAGGGTTATTGCTCAACTTAAGGAGTATAATATTAATAACAACATGGTAAAAGGGTAACCTAGAGAAGGAATCATCACATTCCAATTCAATTTAACCTAATAGTATTAAACAATGAGAGTATATTTCCACTTTCTATATTTTATAAAATATAGTACAAAATCTTTACCACAAATTTTTCTTTAGTTCATGATCTATACCAATTATCATTATTTTAGCATATGATAATGACTAAAATTATGTAATTATTTTCATTATTCATCCTATTCTCTCCATTCATCCTTTCAACTTTAGATCAGACTTTGAATTTTGTCATTTTATCTTGATTTAGGGTCTGTTCTCATACGTTTATTTTCAATTCAGTTCAGTACAGTTCAATTCAGCTCTTAATTTCCTTCTCTTATAAAATATTCAGTTCAGTTCAGTTCAGTTCAATTCAATTCAACTGAGTTCAATCTATGAGAACAGACCCTTAATCTTATCTTGATTTTTTTATATATATTTTTTTAAAAATTCAATTCTAGCAACACATCCTTCATTATTAGACAATAAATAATATATTTTATACAACAATAAATTCAAATAATTTTAGATTAAACAACAAATTCATACAAGTATTAGTTAAGGAAAGATTAGAGATACCCAATTCAAGTTCAATTTATATACAAATAATTAGTTAAAGTTAATTCAATTAAATCGAACAAGACAACCTTTTTATACTTTTAAAAATGGTACTCTAATTAAGTTAGGTGTCTATGACTTGTAATTTAATAATTAAGTTGTGTTCTTTTTACCTGAACTAAACTTATTAGATTTAATTAAGCTTAATTTTCATGTTATATGTTTACTTGTTTGGACCTAATTAACCATATGATTAGACCTGCTTAGATTTGAAACTTATTTTTTTAAAAGTAAAGTTCAATAAGAATTTCATTGTAGTAGTTCTCCAACTCATGTGTGTTTTTGCTTAGAAAGATAGTTTTTTGTCACAAACTATGCACAAGTTCATTACTTTAACATGACCACAATTTATTACGAGTACTATTTTACCAAATAATTTGTCACCATCTTCATTATTATTGGTCCAATCCATAATTTTCTTCTTTGTTTTTTTTTTAGAAAGTCCAACCCCTAATTTGAATATTACTACTTTTGACTACTATAAGTAACATTAGCTTTCTAACAAGATCCTACTTATTTGGTGTTTTCAAATCAAAATTCATAGTAAAAGGATCACTCTAATAAATTCATAAACGTTGACTTTTGACTTACTATGATAAGCAAAACAACTAGCCAACTAGTAGGAATAATAAAAATAGCTTAAGTAGCCTTTGTAAGCTAGTTTAAGAAGTGT